TCTGACTTTGCACTTGCTTCGTCGTGCCACAGCATAGAATAATTATAATAATATATTTGCCAAAATTGATGAATGTAGGTAAGGTATTTGACACGCTTCTTAGTCTAAAAGATCGATTAGCTAAACCTCAAACACTGTTTGGTAGGAAAGGTAATTCTACGTAAAAGCCGAATCTGGCATCTTTCAAACAAACACATAATTTGAACTGGTAAAAACATGGTAAATTTCAAAGTGTGCATCTTCCTACTATCTTAGATGCAGGTAGCATTTCGACTGGATAGTTGTTTGATGTTAATAGCTGAATATTTTAGGATGACTGGCAACATTCATTGTTGTCTGGCTCTGAAATCAAGCCACGTAAAACTGCTTGTTTTTTGGTATTGTCCTAATGGGACGTATTGTATGTTTCGGTGGGCTACCTACGTTGCTGCTCCTCTAGTATGCGTGTGTTTGTGTGTGTGTGCGTATGTGAGGAGATGGTGGACTGAGAGTCTGGCTGCAAACACTCCTCCTTAATGTGACCTTTATGGCGCTCCCGCGCGTGCAGGAGCCCACCTAGCGAGTTGGTTGAGTAAAAGTGTGCGCGTTTTGACTGACTATCGCGCCAGCCACCTACACCCTCCCTCATCCCCGGTCATATTTACTTTGGCTTTACACCGGAAACGGAGGTGGAAGCGTCAAGCAAATATGTATATTCCTCGCCAGTTTGTTTTAACTCCTGTCTTCATTGGCGGTTGTTCGCTGCGTTGCTTTTGCTTGCCGTAGCCTTCGTGCAGTTTGCCCAGCTTGTCCCTGTGTCTGCCTCGGCTGGCTTCAGCGTCTGCTGCGGCTTGTTGGAGCACGCGTCTGCCCATCGTCAAAATCGACATAGGAAATGTCGGATGTTTCGGCCAGGCTAATGCTTGATCAGAAACGGATATACGTGCCACTCATTCTCATGGCATCTTTTGGAACGGACGAAATGGCAATGCAGACCCTTTAGAAGACGAATAAGAAGACTAACTAATCATACATATGGACACAAATATAGTTTTCTTGGTGTGAAAAACACCATTTAGTCAGATGAAATGGGGTTCGGGCGCATAAATCGCCTTCACAAAACATCGCTTTGCAGAATCTCTGAGTACTATTAAAACATCTGAAAGACAAGTGCACAATAGTAAGCAAAGGGGCCGGTTTAAACTAAAAAAACTTTAGGAAACCCAAGTAAAAACTCTTAACCTGTACAGCTTAAGAGCATTCTTGACAGTCTTCTCACGTACTTACCTCAAATGATTATGAGCAACCGTTTATAAGCTAGCATTGTTTAGGCTTATTCAGAATGTATACCATATCATTGTGTGCATGGTCTACGGAGAAGTCAGTGGAAGTGATGCCATAAAGAATAAATTTGCCTTTACCTACATGCGAACTTGTCATTGGAAAATAATTAATATTTAACGGCAATTTCTTCAAAGGACTGAAACATTTGCCTACTTCTTAAAAATCTTAAAATTCGTTTTTTTTTGTCTTCTAAATATGCATAAATATAAATTCGTTGGGAATATTTTTATGAAATTTCCA